ATATTCTAGTTGGGTAATATTAATTCTTGTATTAATATTAATGTTTAGATCTATAGTAAATGATAGATTATTGTCACACGACCATCAAAAATATTCTAGTCAATATATATTACTAATGGTAATAATTCTTATGGTATATTATATATAACATTGTATTAATATTTATCTTTTTCTTTTGTTACGCGATCATCAAATAAAAAAAATTTAACATCCATAGGTAATGATAATAATAATTTCTATATACTTATATTAATAAATAAGCTGTGACATACAAAAAATTAAATTTACAAATTAGATAATGTTTCTTCTCCCATTTGTTTTTTCCAACCCACATAGGTTCTAGTTATCCAATTAGAAATGTTGAAATCTTTTGTTTTTTCTTCAATCTTTCCATATTCCATATGTTCCGATAGTTCTTCATGGATATTTTCAGCTCATTTTTGGTTTGGATAACTTCTAGCACAAAATATTCTTGAAGAATTCTCAATTTAATATAAATTACAGAAATTTTGTTAAAATGCAGATCTTTTTTTCATCTTCTCAAAACATCATTTTCACAACATGATCCGTTTCTATTGAAAAGCCCTCATATTATTACCTCTTAGAATATTTTTGATGGTCGTGTAACAATTATCCACCATTCAACCAGAATTCTGTATTAATAAATTCTTTTTAAAATGAATAAACAAAAGATCCTTATGTTCGTTCATTAACCTATTTTCTTTTCAAATACTTTAAAATAATCTAGTGCTTGAGCAATAATAGCCATTGTTTTTAAGATGTAGTAGTTGGTGTTATTGACTATTGTATATTTTCAAAGATACCTACCTATTTTTTAAAGATTGTTTCCTACTGGTCCAAAAAGAAAACTACAAATAGAGAATACTTTTCCATTATCAGAAGGCTGCCATCAATAACAAGAAAATGGTCCACAATTTAATATTGGTTCTTTTAAGATTTTAAATTTATATTATTCCAAAATTTTTCTGCCGATTATAAAAGGATCGGCAATTAAAAGGTTTTGTTGTAAAATAGTAATTTTACATATCATGGAAATCAATAAATAAATCTGGAAAATTACAAATAAGAATATCTCAAACAACAGAGAAATAAATATTCTAACATTCTAAATATAACAGACTTTTAATTCTTTGGATTTAATTTAAACAAATGTTTGTATCACTTTCAAAATATTTCTACACAGAAGGTTCAAGTAATACATTTAATTAGGATTTCAAAGAAATTGGAGAACTAGATGATAGAACTTTTAACATATGTAATAACATTGTAATTTTCTCAACTTCATATGTCATCATTCATAATAATCATTTAATAAATAGATTGCAAACAAAAAAGGATTATTTGTTTTCAATTTACCTGTACTTTTCAAGGTTTATTGGGTTAATCTCAAAAGGTACAAGGTACAGGTCACCTGCTCCATATCCGCGCGCCATACCTGTACCTGTATTTTTGCACGTCACTTAGTCGCCGCCGAATTTTTTTTATCGGCCAAAATTGGCAATCTTTAATAATTTTTTTTTTTATGGATGCATAATAACTCTTATTAAAACAATTTTTTTTATGGTCGCAATTCTTTAATAAATACGGTAATAGTAAATACAATCTCTTAAACAATACTTACTATAAATCTCATTAAATTCCCGCCAATGTAGATAATGATTTACTTAACTTTTTATATATTAATATTAACATTCAAAAGATGTTATTTTTTTGGTAATAACCTTTGCAATATGCTGTAAAACGTTATTGGTGGAATAAACTCATCCATAAAAATATCATCTTCATTGGTTACCTTTATTTCCCCAATTTCCAAAATCCGCCCATATAGGATAAATTTATATCTTTGAAGCCGTAACTTTATTTTATAAAGTATACAAATTAATATTAAAAAGTTTAACTGTATGCGAGTAATTAACTTTATGTCTAAATATATTGATATGAATTAATCATGGATAAATTTATGTCTTTGAAGCCGTAATCATCTTTCATTTTATAATAATAAAGTATAAATATTTGATTAATAGTTATATATATATATATATATATATATATATATATATATATAAACAAACTTTTTTCTTTCTCATATTTCTTTGTTTTCTTTAATAAAATAAAAAAATGGTATCTTCGGATAATGCTGTCATTTTAAAACCAACAGGCGATCCCATGCCACTCATCGGTTTCGGTTTATGGCAAATACCTAAAGATAAAGCTGCTGATACTGTTTATCGTGCTTTAAAATATGGTTATCGATTATTAGTAAATATTCTATTTAAATTTTTTTATTTGTTTCATTATTGCAATCTATCGATAATCATTTAACAATACAATTTATGTGTATTATAATAAATTCAGGATGGAGCAGCTATCTATGCTAACGAAAAAGAAGTGGGTGATGGAATCAAAAAAGCAATTGATGAAGAAGTTGTAAAACGTGAAGATATTTTCATCACATCCAAGGTAATAAACAAATAAATATAATTAATTAATTAATTAATTGGATAAATGAGGCCTTTTTAAAATTTTATCAACTACTATTCGCAAATAGTTATGGAACACTTATCATAGAAAAGAACATGTTAGACCAGCTCTTGAGAGAACACTTAATGATCTTAAAGTGAAATATTTAGATCTTTACTTGATACATAACCCTGTCTCCTTGAAATATGTTGATCCAAAAGAGCGTTATCCTGCTAACTGGTTTTATGATAATGAGAATAAGATTTGTCTTCAAGAAAATGTCACTATTAGAGAAACATGGGAAGCTATGGAAGAATTGGTCGACGCTGGATTAGTCAGGGTAAATATATAAATATAAGAAAGTGTGTATATCGGGGATGGTTTGTATTCATATATATATATATATGTTTTTATACATAACTCATTCACTTTTATCATCATATATTTGTAATCCAGAACATTGGAATTTCCAATTTTAGTGGAGCGTTGATAATGGAATTGTTGAAATGTGCACGTATCAAACCATCAGTACTACAAATAGAACATCATCCATATTTGACACAAGAAAAATTGATAGATTATGCAAAATCTCAAGATTTGGCAGTGACCGCCTACTCATCTCTAGGTTCAATTAGTTATATAGCTTTTGGAATGACAAGTGGCGAGGGTATTCCTCACTTGTTAGAAGAACCTAAATTGGAACAGATTGCAAAGAAACATAATAAATCTACTGCTCAGGTTTTGTCTTCTTTTCATATACATCTAAAGCGAGTGGTGATAATTGCAGCGGCAATAATAATAATAATAATAATTAATTCATGTTATTACGATGATAGGTGGCTCTTCGTTGGGCAATTCAACGTAATATTGCAATTATACCAAAATCAAACAATCAAAATAGAATTATTGAAAATCGTAAAATTTTAGATTTTACTTTGACTGATGAAGAAATTAAAGAAATCTCTTCGTTAAATAGAAATTTAAGGTTTAATGATCTCTATGCACGGTTTAGGATTCCTGTATTTGAATGATCTACTTTTGAGATTGGAAGGTATGACTAATACTAATACTAATAAGGATAATTTTAATAGTATGGTAATAGTAAAATAAGAAAGTCTCGTAAATAAATAATATTAAATAAATTAAAAAATAAAAGTGTTTTTTCTTTAATCAAACCTAATTTAACCACGTTATTAATTATCAATCAACTTGGAAGTTTTATTCAGGTGGTTCATGGTGAAGGTGTATCTGGCGAACACTTTGCTAGGTCGAGATTTCCTAAAAATACAACTACTGCCACTACTACTAATATTAATATCATTTTCAAATGTAATTCATGAAAATCATTATTGTTCAAGTGACCCAGAAATTACTGAAATATCTTGCTGATAATTGTGGTAATAATTTGATGCAATGCTAGAAACATCCTTATTACAATATCCTAATCAAGCTATGTTGACTTATAATAGTCAGTTCATCTATCAATTACCTTTTTCTCATTCACCATTTCCAGTCTTGCTAATTTTTAAATGAGCTGGTGCAAATCAAATAAATTTTCAGTAACGAAAAGAATAATTACTGAATAGAGATAATGTAAAATCAACTGATTTAAATAAATTTTTTTGATTTGTAAATAACGGAAATAAAAGAAACTAGTACTAGTGATGCCTCAACAAAAAAAAATTATAAAAGTGGGTTACTTTTTATACAAAAAGCACAATAATAATAAAACAATAAATTTTGATAAATGGACGGTAACTTTGCAGCCTGTTCCAACAGTCATAATGTTATTAAGAATATTGGTACACGATGCTAAAGGTCGACAACCAGATACTTGGGAGTTTCGCGCTCATGCTCACCCATATTCATAATTAGCAAGCTTTATTAAATGCTTTATTCTCGAGTGCACATTTATAATACTATTACGACATTATTATTTCCTTATAAAAATTCAAACTCCTACAAATAAATAAATTCTTCGCAATAATCAAAGAACATTTTTCCTTTTCCTCCTTCATCTTTTCCACCATCTCCTAAACCTTTTTTTTTTTTTCTCAGCACAATCTGCAAAATAAACTTATATTAATAGACAGTAACCCTTTGCAGCCTGCTTCCAACAGCCATAGATAATATATATGAGACTGAATGCGTCATTAAGAATGTTGGTACATGATGCATTGGGGTGAGCGGTCAACTAATTAAATCAAAACTATATATGGACCCCTATGAAAATTTACTATTGAATTTTTTTT